AAAAAAATAAAAAAATAAAGAAGAAGGAGGCAAGAGGTGGGGGGTTGGGGGGGGAGAGAGAGGAAGATGCTACTCTGCTGGCTTTGAAAATGAAAGAGGCAGCCACAAGCCAAGGAATGAGGACAACCTCAAGAAGCTGAAAAAGGCAAGGAAATGGATTCTCCCCTAGAGCCACCCAAAGGAAGACAGCCCAGCCAACACCTTCCTTCTAGCTCTGTAAGACTCATCTTCTGACTTCTGACCTCCAGAAGCGTAAGATAATAATACGTTTATGTTGTTTTAAGCCACTGAATTGGTGGTCACTTGTCACAGCAGCCTTAGGAAACTAATGCATATAGTTTTTATCTCATAATAGCTCTGTTAGGTGGCTACCATTCTTATCCCCATTATGTAGATGTGGAAACTGAGGTTGAGAACAAGTTAATAGGACAAAGATCCTTCAGTTGGCAAATCCAGGATTGCAAACCAGGCCTATCTGATCCCAAAGCCAGTGCTCTTAACTGTCATCTTTATGACCGCACTGTTCCAGGTGAAGAACTTGGAGTTAACTCTTTTTTTTTTCTAGGGAATTGAACTTTCTCTGTAAGGGGCTAACTCTTCTATGTTCCCTTCACCATTAATGACAAGACTTGTCTTTTTGAAAGGTTCAAGCAACAATCAGCTACTGTCTCTTGGGAGACTGGGAGAAAAGGGAGTGTTTAATTTCTATATCCAGGTTATGGGGAGACAAGTCAACATCCTTACAAAAAAAACTCACTCAAAGCAGCATAAATTAATTCCAGTATTTATACCCCAACTTCATAACCTTTCAATTACACCAAGTTCAAAGCCTATGTGCAGTTTAGATTTACATTAATTTTTTTAATACACAACGCAAAGTCATGCTGACATTTTAGATAACACTTTGGAATTTACAGTATGTTCTTTTACGGTTTTTTAGAGGAAGAGACAGATAATTGCAACATTTGGAAGGAAGGGAAAGTCACCACACTTAAAATGATAACTTTAGATTGTTTTAAAGCATAATTGTAATAATTTTTTATTCCCAGAGTCCTGGCTATAACAGTCCTGTGTCCTAGTATTCACAGATGGGGGCGAGGTGGACAATGTCCACTCCAAGCTGTCAGACACACTGCTGCCAGCCTTGGACCACTCTCCTAATTATTATTTCTTTAGCACCAGCAATGACTTACTAAATAAGACTGGCCAACTGGGCAAGCCCATGCTAGTAGAGGAGCAGGAGGTGGGGGTGGGAATAGGAAAAATGAATGCTTTTAAGTATAAATGGCTTTTACATCGAGCTTAACTCAATTACAAAGAAGTTTCTTAAGACAAGATTGTCTTTTTTTAAATGTCTGTTTTAATATAGTCATTATGGCCTCTTTTCAACCTGTAACACTTTGTTAAACCCTTCATTCCCTGACTTGCTGTAATAACCCTAGGTATTTTGGTTTCTGCCTTCCCTAGCATGGCCAAGTATTTCCGGAACAACTTCATTAACCCCCACATTTACTCCAGAGGGATCGCTAAACTTATCTTCTGCTGGGACTTCACTGTCACTCATGAGAATGCTGTGAAGCTTAAACAGAAGAATCTTAGCACTGAGATAAGGGTAAGGCAAGCTCACATTAGCCAATATCTTCCTTCCGCCCGTCTCCTTCCCTTCTGCAGCGTATCTGTAACTTTTCTTAAAGTAATCATGAGTTCTTGTCTTATTAAGATTGGCCAAAAAATAAAATAAAATATTCACAACGCCTAGTGGTAGTGATGTTGCAGGGAAAGGGACGTTTTCTCACAACCCAGTGGCTTTGTGATTGGCACAGCCTTACTGGAGGCCAATTTCGCAACGTGTATCAACATGATAAACGGACATCCTTCTTGACCCCACAGTTCCAGGTTTAAAATTTAACTCTAGGGCAGTGATTTTCAACTCAGAGCAATTTGTCCCTCTTGGGGACATTTGGCAACATCTGAGGACTTTCTTGGTTCTTGCAGTTGAGGTGTTCCTGGCAGCCAGTGAGTTGAGGCCAGGGATGCTGCTAAGTATCCTACAATGCCCAGGACAGGAACCACAGCAGAATTCTTCAGTCCTAATGTCAACAGTGTGGTTAAGAATCCCTGGTCCACAGAAACAAACTTACTAAAAAGAAAGAGCAAGCAGCAGATATAAAAAAAGAGACCTTAGCCGGGCTTGGTGGCTCAGCCTGGGATCCTGCGCCTTTGGGAGGCTGAGGTGAGTGGATTGCCTGAGCCCGCGGGTTCGAGACCCGTCTGGGCAGCGAGACCTCATCTCCACAATAAATAATAAAAAAAAAATCAGCCAGGCATGGTAGCGCGTGCCTGTAATTCCAGCTACTCGGAAGGCTGAGGCGGAAGGATCGCCGGAGCTCAGCAGGTCGAGGCTGCGGTGGCCGGGAGTGGTCACTGCACTCCAGTCCGGGCGACAGAGTGAGACTCCAACTCAAAAAAAAAACAAAAAGAGAGAGAGACTTTGACAAGAGGGTTGCAGATGTGACCTTCCTCCTCGGTGAGGATGCCTAGCCGGATTCTTCCAGAAAGAGCCCTGTGACCTCAGTCTGCTTCCTCAAGAGCATGGTTCCAGTCTACTGGTTCCATCTGTTCTACTAAGATGGAAATGGGGCCTGGGGATTCTTGGCCCATCTGAGAGGCCCCCCTGGGTCATCCATAATCCATGCCCATCATGAACTCGCTGCTTACTGTCCCCCGGGGATTGGGCTGGGTTTGTGTCTCTGGGTGTATTAAGCATTTCGGGGATCTTTGCTGACAGAAGAGAGGGATCTGCGGGCTTTCTTGACTTTCTTGCATCTCCAGGAGAACCTGTCAGAGATCCGTCAGGAGAATGTTCGGTTCACGGTCCATCAGCAGCTGACCCGCTTCTTTGCCCACATGGCAGCCTGGGTCGTCTCTACTGGAGGGGCCATCGCCTGCTGTGCAGCTGTTTATTACCTGGCCGAGTACAACTCAGAGGTAATCAGAGAGGCAGGAACACCAGGGTCCAGGGCAGCGGAACCAGGTGAAGGGATGGGATGCTGGAGGGAGAGAGTGGTGTAGGGTCTGCCGCTCAACCTGGGGTGTGTGGCCTGCAGCATCAGCACCACGAGGAAGCTTAGTTAAAAAAAAAAAAAGCAGAATCTGGGCAAGGCGCAGCGGCTCATGCCAATAATCTCAGTGCTTTGGGAAGCTGAGGCGGGAGGCTCATTTGAGCCCAGTTCGAGACCAGCCTGGGCAACATAGTGAGACCTCATCTTTACAGAAAATTTTGAAAAAAATTTAGTCAGGCATGGTGGCATGTGCCTATGGTTCCAGCTACTAGGAAAGCTAAGGTGAGAGGATTGTTGATCCCAGGAGGTTGAGGCTGTGGTGAGCCATGATCATGCCACTGCACTACAGCCTAGGTAACAGAGTAAGACCCTGACTCAAAAAAAAAGGAAAGAGAAAAAGAGAAAGGGATGGAGGGAGGAAGAGAGGGAAGGAGAGAGAAGAAAGAAAGAGAGAGAGAGAGAAAGGGAGAGAAAAGAAAGGGAGGGAGGGAGAGAAGAAAGAAAGAAAAAGAAAGGAAGAAAGGAAGAAGGAAAGAAAGAAAAGGAAGAAAGGAAGAAGGAAAGAAAGAAAAAAGAAAGGAAAGGAGGGAGGGAAAGAAAGAAGGAGAGAGAGAAAAGGGAGGGAGGGGAAGGAAGGAAGGAAGGAAGGAAGAAAAGTCACAGAATGACCTCTTGAGCTCAGGCCCTGAGTCAGACACATCTGGATTCCCAACTGCCACTTCCTTGCTGGGTGACCCCAGGCAAGCATCTTTGCCTCCCTGAGCTTCAGTTTGCTTGGCACAGGATAAGTGCTCAATAAATGGCAGCTGAGTAGTTAACCTATGGGGAGTTCTGTCAGGGGCCTTCTGAGTGAGGCAGGGAGGCATCCAGCACAGAGTCAGCATCTAGGATCTCTCCTCGATCCCCTGTAGTTCCTGAGGATGCACAGGGACCCCGGGGCGGTGCTGCTACTGCCTTTCGTTGTGTCCTGCATCAACCTGGTCGTGCCACGCTTCTACTCCTTGTTCAGGCTGGTGGAGAGGTACGAGATGCCGCGGCGCGAAGTCTATGTTCTTCTGATTCGGTAGGTGTGCCCTTCTGTGGAGGGAAGTGGGGTGGGAGCGAGAAAGGGTTACACATAAGTATTTAAGTTCTATGCTCCAGAGGAAGGAATTTCAAGAGTGAAGTTTGGCTGGGCACCGGTGGCTCATACCTGTAATCCCAGTGTTTGGGGAGGCTGAGGCAGAAGAATCCTTTGAAACTAGGAGTCCAAGACCAGTCTGGACAACATAGTGAGACCCCCATCTCTACAAATAAACAAAAAAGTTAACCAGCATGTGGCACACGCCTGTAGTCCCAGCTTCTTGGGAGGCTACAGCAGGAGGATTGCTTCAGCCCAGGAATTTGAAGCTGCAGTGGGCTATGATTGCACCACTGCACTCTGGGTGACAGAGAAGACCCTTTATCTGAAGAAAAAAAAAAGTAAAATGTGTTTGCCTGGTGTGGTCTTTTACTCAAAATAATTACTAACCTTTCCTGATCGCCCCCAGCCTGAGGATTAATGTAGTTCTCAAGTGTGAGATGTATAGGTGGGCAGGCAGTGCACCACACAGTTTCCTGGCTGAGGAGTTGTGTAGAGACTGAAATCATCCAGTGTTCCCACTAGTCAAACTCTTCTTATTAGTGAGTCTTGGTGCTCACCGCATCAGCCAGGAGAAAGAGGTGTATTTTTATAATTCGGCCATGCAAACCGAGGTGGGCAGAGTGCTTGGCAATTGGCCCAAGACAGTACTTTTTTGTGATTCCTAGAAGTGACCCCAGGGTTTTGATAAAAGAAATCTGTCCTTCCAGTCTCTTCTTGGGTAATTCTCTGATGATTCCTGGTCATGGTGGGTGTTCATAAGTACAGATCTGGACAGTGCAAACTGAGTTTCTTTATGAAGTCCTGAAGCCCTTGCCTTCTCTGGCCTCTCAAATCTGCCTCTGGCCACCCCTCTAGCCTCATTCTCTTCTTCTCTCCTTGCTCACTTCCCTTCCCCCTCACTGACTTCCTGAGAGTTCACCAACAAGTCAAACCATATTCCCACCTCTGGGCCTTTACACAAGCTGTTCTTTCTACCTGGAATGCTCTTCCCACAGACAGCCACAGGACTTGCTTCCTGACTTTGTTTTGGCTTCTGCTCCAACGTCCCCCTCTTGGAGAGCGCTTCCCTGACTACCTACTAAAAATAACAACTCCCCACCTCCCTTCTCTCCTGCATTGTCTTGTTCTTACCACTTCCTGACATATTTGTATTGGTGTACTGTCTTCCTCCCCCACAGTTGATGGGGAAACCTTTGCCTTGTTCACAGTGCCTGGGATATCATAGGTGTTCAAGAATAATTGATGAATGAATGAATGAGCACATCAGTTAATCAGTCAATTATATCCAACTCATTTATGAAAACGTCAACTGTAGGTGATCTCTATACCCACCTTATTCCTCACAATCTACCTACTGGCCTGGGGTGCTCTTTCTTAGGTATGTATAAGGGGGAACTGTTAGGTCTCACTGTCACCCCATAACCTTGCATACTGGGTAAGATGAGCATTAACTACCCTCTACGTGATAATAGAGTTGTAAAGATTGGGGGATGATTCAATAAAATGTTTAGCAAAGTATCTTGGGTCAGCATCCAATAAATATTATGTACATTTACTATTAGTATAATGGGAAGGGAAATCAGATAGTTTAGAGATGCAACAAAAGACAGTGTATCAGTCAGAATAAATTAGGTTATGCTGCAGTAACAAACAACCCCCAAATCTCAGAAGCTTAGAGGACAAAGGTTTACTTCTTGCTCACACTACATATGCACTGTGGATTGGCAGGAGGAGTCTGTTCCTGTCAGTCACTGAGGGATCCAGTTGAGAGAGCAGCGACTCTCTTGAATATTGCTGATTGCCATTCCAGAGGGAAGATGAGGCGTTCTGGAGGGTCTCATGCTGGTGTTAAATGCTCCAGCTTAGAAGTGACACACAATGTTTCTGCTCACAATTCATCCTCCAGAACTAGCCACATAGTGCCATCCAACCATGGGAGGGGGCGTTCAGGAATGTCTATCCTACCATCTGCCCAAAAGGAAATATTGGCAAATAGCACACAAGACTGATATGACAGGTAATGATAGATGTTTTCTTTTCTGTTCAGAAACATCTTTTTGAAAATATCAATCATTGGCATCCTTTGTTACTATTGGCTCAACATCGTGGCCCTGTCTGGCGAAGAGGTGAGATTTCTGTGTTTTTCTGCCTTAAATTTGGTTTCCTAGCCTTTGACCACTGAGGAGGACATGGGTTTCTCAAAAGCCATCACACCCCCTACGTGGCATTAATCCCTGTGGGAAGAGAACAGGAGCTAATCTGGAAAGCAACATAAGTCAAGGGGTCTCAACAAAAAAATTTCAGTCTAGAGTTAGAAAGACCTTGATGTGAAGGTCAGTTGTGTCATCTGCTAAGTCAATGTCTTTGAGCCTCTGTTTTCTCATCTGTAAAATGGGAATTAAACAATATTATGTGTAGTATAAGTACAGTGCTTAGCATATGGTAGGCATGCTATAGAGGGTAGTGATTTTGATGCTAATTTGTCCTAACACCACTGGGGTTTTGCATAAAATCCTTTTTGATTCTTGATGTTCTGTTTTTTCCTGTAAACCTAGATACACTGGGCTTTACTGGCCTGCAAAGACATGAGTGCTACAGTAATAATTATGTCCTAACCCTGATTGTTCCTAGGCTTCCCTCACTTGAGTACAGTTTCTCAGTCTTCCCTCGCCTCAGAGGATAGGGGCCTGGTGCCCCGTTCTGAGAGTGGGATCCCATGGGGATTCAAGAACAAGCAACCTCTCTAGGCTTCTCAGTGGAATACCTCTGCCCTGCTCCTGGGTTACCCATGAGAATGGGCCTCCATATCATAGCTGTCCTTAGCTGAGGGCCATCCTGAGCTCTCAGGTACCCAGGATGCTCTTGGGTTAGAAATGGAGTCTGGGAAGAAGGAGCTTCGTTCCATCTCTCTGTCTCCCTTTGTCCTTGGGCCCCAAAATATCTGTGTGCAGACTCAAGCCATCTTACATGAACATGGCATCCTCAGCTTCTCTCCCTAATTATCATAGAGGTTCCAGACCAGACCTCTGAATTAGGCTGACTAGAGCAGAGACCATATTATGCCTCCATCCATCCATTCATTCTTCACTCATTTTTTTTATCCATCCACATATCCACCCATCCTTTTGTCTACCCATTTATCCATTGATCCATCCACGTATGCATCCATCCATTTATCTATTTATTCATCCATGTATTCATTCATGAATTCATCCACCCATTCATTCATCCACCCATCCACTTATTCATCTAGCCATTCATGCATCATCCATTTATCCATCCATTCATCTAACCATCCTTGGGTTGTTTACCCAAAACTTCTCTCTTCTTCTTCAGCCAAATCTAAAAGCTCTCAGTCTATCAGCTAATAGCACTGACTTTCTGCAGAGGTAACTGACTACCGGTTTTGTAAACTGACTAATTTATTTATTTTGAAGTTTATCGATTTTATTGATCTCAAACAATCAGTTTTGGGTTTCATTGATTGTTTCACTTTTTTTCCATTGACTTCCTCTCTGACCTTTATTTTTTCTTTGCTTACTTTGGGTTTAACTTTCTCTTCTTTTTTTCGTTTTAAAGATGTGGGGTACAAATCAGGATTAGGTATACAAGTTGTCATCGTACAGGTAAAGTTTGGGCCTCCTTTTGGTCCCCACTTTGCCTGGTCTGAGATCAGGTATGCTTATTGATGTTGTGTCCCTCCCACCCTCACCTCAGCAGTATCCTACTACTGCCAATCCCTTTCTTATAGTATTATGGTAAATGTTCAGGATCCACTTATGAGTGAGAACATGTGGCACTCTGTTCCTTGTTTCTGTGATAGATCACTGAGTATGATAGACTCTAAATCCATCCAGGTTGCTGCAAAGTCCATATATTTGTCCTCCTTTTTTTTTGAGTTGGAGTCTCACTGTCGCCCAGACTGGAGTGCAGTGGCCGCTCCTGCCACCGCAGCCTGACCTGCTGGGCTCCGGTGATCCTTCCACCTCAGCCTTCCAAGTAGCTGGAACTACAGGCACGTGCTACCACACCCGGCTAATTTTTTGATTTATTGTAGAGATGAGGTCTCACCAAGTTGCCCAGGTGGGTCTTGAACCCGCGGGTTCAGGCAATCCACTCACCTCAGCCTCCCAAAGCACGGGATTACAGGCTGAGCCACCAAGCCTGGCATACCATATTTTTTTAATCCAGTCCAGTTTTAATGGGCAGCATGGTTTTTGCTATTGTGAATAGTGGTGCAATAAACATGTATGTGCTTGTATCTTTTTGTAGAATTATTTGAATTCCTCCAGGTATATTCCCAGTAGGGGGATTGCTGGGTCATATGGAAGGTCAACGTCTAGTTCTTTCAGACATCGCCACACTGTTTTCCAAAGAGGTTGCACTAGTTTGCAATCCCACCAGCAGTGTAGAAGCGTTCCTTTTTTCCCACATCCTCACCAGAATCTGTTGTTGTTTGTTTTATTAATGATAGCCATTCTTACTGGGGTTAGATGATATTTCAATGTGGTTTTGATTTGCATTTCTCTGATGATTAGTAAAGCTGAGCACTTTTTCATGTGTCTGTTGGCTGCCCATATATCTTCTTTTGAGAAGTGTCTATTCATGTCTTTTGTCCACTTTTTAATGGGGCTGTTTGTTTTATTCCTTTTGGCACGTGAGTTCCTTGTAGATTCCAGATGTTAGGCCTTTGTCAGATTTACAGTTGGCAAATATTTTTCCCATTCTATGGGCTGTCTCCCCACTCTCTAGATGGTTTCTTTTGCTTTACAAAAGCTTTCAGTTTGATGAGATTCCATTTGTCTATTTTATCTCTTATGGCATGGGCACATGGGATAACCTGACTAATTTAAACTTACAGTTTATTCTAGCTTGCTGAACCTCTGGGCCACTTTCTTAATCAAGCAGATATAAATTGATTTTCGTAAGGTCAATAAGAAGAAAAGAGTAGAGGCATTTTTATGCATTGATGCCTCCTGCTCTCCTAAATAAACTGATTAGTCCTGGCAGAGAAATGGCATCCAGAGGGGATATGACAGACAAGAAAAGTTTCAAGGGGAGAGAACATGAGAAGGGAAAGTTTGGATACATGGGGGAAGGCAAGCCTTAATGAGGAACCCAGAAAGAGGATAAACTGAATACAAACTCAGCTGCGTTTTTGCAAAGAGTGGGTCTACTTTTCTGAGTACACGAGAACTTGATCAAACTGAGCCACCAGCCACATCCTAATGAGCATGTGGAGCCAGGAACAGATGAGATCTGAGCCAAGGTCACAGCCCCTTCCCACATCCTGACTCTTGTTTGCCTTCCAGTGTTGGGAAACGCTCATTGGCCAGGAAATCTACCAGCTCCTTCTGATGGATTTTGTGTTCTCTTTAGCTGATTCCCTCCTGGGGGAGTTTCTGAGGAGGTAAATATTTGTCCTTCATGAGTAATTAGTACCTGATACTGTAACCAGAGCCTAATTCCTGGCTGAGCCGGAAGTATGGGCCCCTTATGTGCTCAAAGACCAACTCTGCATTGTTCTAAGTCTGCATATCGTCCTTTGGGATAGCGTTCTCTTCTAAATTAACTAAAACTTCACCTTAATCTGACAGTCCTGTTGTCATAATTCATCTGGTTCAATTGATCCTCTACAACCTTCTTTTTGAAAAAAAATTCTAGAAATAAGAACAGAAACGGATCCATTTGAAATCTTATCCACCACAGGTAACCTTAATATTCTAGTATATATTCCGGATCTTTTTATGCACACGTTTCTCTTACTGTGTGTGTGTATATAGATATACACACACATATATATACATACACAGACATATATATTTATATACTGTATGATACTATATAATTTTCAAAAACAAAAGCGGGGTCACACTGCAAAATCATTGTGGAGTTTGCTTTTATTAATCTATCACTATGGCTCGGTGCCTTTCCATGTCAGTACATATAGATGTATCTCATTGTTTTAATTTAATTAATGTACTAACTTTTACAATAAGTATACAGAATTGAGGGACTGTCATTAGTACATTTAATTAATGTACTAACTTTTATAATAAGTATACAGAATTGAGGCATTGTCATCATTCTCCTATGTGTGGTCCTTTATTATTTACTAATTCATTTATTCTTTAATAACATGATAAGCCTCTCATTCCTTATAGACATTGATATGTTTCTTCAAGCTGCTCCAGGGATAGGATGGTATGACCCAGGGTTGATTCTTAGTGCCAGGCATAAAGGGGAATAGGGTTTTTTTTACAGAACTTTTGTATTGGCACTTTCTCCTAATGAAGAAATCAATGTGGTCTCAAATTTCTCCATAGTAAATGGACCTCAGTTTTTCCCTGAGAATTTAGAAAATAAGGAAATATTATTAATTTGATAACAGTAACCAAAAATTGTCAGTTTGGGTTTATTTGGGTTGAGAGGTGCTGAGTTTATCTGGTTCATGAAAAAACAATTTAGTAAGCAAAGAAGCCCGGGCATGGTGGCTCACTCCTGTAATCCCAGCACTTTGGGTGGTGGAGGCAAGAGGACTGCCTGAACCTAGGGGTTTGAGACTAGCCTGGGCAGCTTAGCAAGACCTCATCTCTACAATAAATGAAAAAAATTAGCCAGGCATGGTGGTGCACACCTGTAGTTCCAGCTATTTGAAAGGCTGAGGTGAAAGTATTGCCTGAGCCCAGCAGGTTGAGGCTGCAGTAACCATGAACGTGCCTCTGCACTCCAGCTTGGGCGACAGAGTGAGACTCTGACTCAAAAAAAAAAAAGGTTTAATAAGCAAAGAGTGGTATAAACAAGATAATAGATGGGATGATTTAAATAGCCAGGGTAACAAATGTTCTCTAGAATTTTTAAAAATTACTTCAGCAGTAACCCCACTTGACTGTATTGTGTTGTCCATTTTCCCTCAATTCTCTCAATTATTTCTTTTAAAACATCCTTATATTCTTAGAACTTTTGAAAAATTTGCAAGGGAACTTGAGACTTTATCCTAAACAGGTGAATGTCTCTTGTGGATTGTCCTAATCTGTGGAGAATCTTTTGAAAAAGGAAGTTATGGTTTCGGTATTAAACTTAGTATGTTTTCACAGAATCATTGGGATGCGGCTTATCACAAGCCTTGGCATACAGGAGTTTGACATTGCCAGGAATGTTCTAGAACTGATCTATGCACAAACTCTGGTGTGGTAAGTTTTGCGACTTTGCAGGATACCCAGAGGCTTCTGCTTGACTATGGAGTTCATGTTTTGGTGGTAAAGCCCCAGAATCTGTTGTTTTTAAAGCTGCACAGGTGACACCAAACCCAGTCAGTCTGAGAACCATGAATTTAGAATTTATACACTTCTTTTCCTTTATGAGACCTTGAGGACTTCAGACAAGAATCAGCATAGAGTAGGGGTCCCAACCTGGAGGCCCACAGGCCATGTCCAGCCTGCAGGTGTGTTTTGCTTGTCCCATGTGGTGCTTTTGTGAAAAATCTGAATTAACCATTGCTGTGGGCTGAATGTTTGTGTTCCCCTTCAAATTCAAATGTTGAAACCTAATTTCCAATATGATAGAGGTGAGGTCTTTGGGAGGTGATTTTGGTCTTTGGTGAAGCCCTTATGAATGGGATTAGTGCCCTAATAAGTGAGGAGGGAGAAAGGGGGGGGAGAGAGAGAGACCCCTTTTCCCTTCTGCTGTGTGAGGACACAGTGAGAAAGCACCATCTATTAATCAGAAAGAGGGCCCTCACCAGACATCAGATCTGCTGGCGCTTCAACTTTAGACTTCCCAGTCCTCAGAACCATGAGATATAAGTTACTGTTGCTTATAAGCTACCCAGTTTATTGGATTTCATTATAGCAGCCTGAATGGACTAAGACAGCTACCCATATTTAAAACCAAGAAATTTGACATAAAATTTAAATGTCTAGCTTCTCTCCAGAAAGATCTGGCCATCTCCTGTCATGGTAACAATTTCACTAGGATTTGAGGTAAGGGGAACATGTCCAGTTTGCCACAGTCTTCACCTTGCACTGTCATCTCCCAGCATTCATTTGCCATTTCTTGTTGCCCTCATGCTGTTAGCTTGGATGTAAACTTTACTTTGCATTCATATCTCAACAGAAGTGGGTGAATACAGACAGGTGGAGGCTGGGTGCTGTGCCTATAATCCCGGCACTTTGGGAAGCCAGGGTGAGAGAATTGCTTGAGTCCCGGTGTTCAATACCAGCCTGGGCAACGTAGTGAGACTTCATCTCTAAAAAAAACATTAAACAAAATTAGCCAGGTGTGGTGGTATGCTCCATTGTACAGATAGTCCACAGTTTGTGTATCCATTCATTTGTCCGTGAACACTTGGGTTGTGTCCACCTTTAGCTATTGTGAATAATACTGCTGTGAACACGAGTGTGCAAATCTCTTCCAAATCCTATTGTCAGTCTTTTAGGGTATATTCCCAGAAGTGGAATTGCTGGATCACATGGTATCATGAGCATGCAGTTTTTTTGTTTTTTGAAAAATAATATGGGTTAGGCTGTGCATAGTGACTCACACTTATAATCCCAGCACTTTGGGAGGCTGAGTTAGGAGAATTACTTGAGACCAGGGGTTCTAGACCAGCGTGGGCAACATAGTGAGATCTTGTCTCTACAAAAATAAAAATTAAAAAAATTAACCAGGTATGGTGGTACACGCTTATAGTCCCAGCTACTTGGGAGGCTGAGGCAGGGGGCAACACTTGAACCCAGAAGTTTGAGGCTGCAGTGAGCACTATGCTCCAGCCTGGGCAACAGAGCAAGACTCTGTCTTTTAAAAAAGGAAAAAAGTGGGTTATTTATGTGACATAGGAAAATAATAATATAGCTCCATTTAATGAGTGCTCATTTTAGCCAGGTTGTTTAATCCTAGAGTCTGAGTCCTCATATTGTTGATCATTTGACAGAGATTCCAGAGGAAAATGGCAGTATGAGGCAGGAGAATTACAATGAGAAATGACCATAAGGACTTCTAGGCCTTTGAGGATTTTGTTGATAAAAGATACATGTATCTTTTTCTTTCTCCATGGCAATTACAGATTTAACTTTTTTGAGTTTTAGAATATTGCCTTTGATGATATTTATTTTTACTTTTTAGATAGTTTATTTAGAAAGTAAATTAGAGAGAGCGAGAGAGAGAGGGAGCAAGGGAGGGAGGAGAGAATCACCTCCCCAAGGTAGGGGAGGGGGCCAAAGCTGAGGAAAACTGGCCTGGCCCATAGATCAAAGAACACATGGCCAGACCACAGCTTACCAAGGCAATGGTAATGAGTTTTAAAAGAAGATAATATGACAGAAAAGGAGTGTATGTAGAGATGAGGAAGGGGTAAGGAATGTGCTTCCCAAATTTTAGTCTAGTGCACACCAGACTTGTTTTTTACTGATTTTTTTTAGCATATCTACATAACACCTGTACTATTATCTACTTAATATTTTCTTTTAAGTTGTCTTGCCAGATGTGGTGGCTCACACCTGTAATCCCTGCACTTTGGGAAGCAGAGGTGAGAAGATTGCCTGAACCCATGGGTTCGAGACCAATCTGGGGAACATAGTGGGCAATAAATAAAAAAATTAGCCAGGCATCGTGGCACACACCTGTAGTTCCAGCTACTTGGAAGGCTGAGGCAAAAGGATCTCCTGAGCCCAGCAGGTCGAGGCTGCAGTAACTGTGATTGTGCCGCTGCACTCTAGCCTGGGTGACAGAGTGAGAATCCAACTAAAAAAAAAAATTGTTTGCCTGCCTTTTTTTTTTTTAACTCAAATACATTTTTGCTTATTTATTTATCTTTAATTTTTAAATTTTTTTTTTAGTTGGAGTCTCACTTTGTCGACCAGACTGGAGTGCAGTGGCACGCTCCTGGCCACCGTAGCCTTGACCTGCTGGGCTCCGGCGATCTTTCCACCTTAGCCTTCCAAGTAGCCAGAACTACAGGCACACGCTACCACTCCCGGCTAATTTTTGATTTATTGTAGAGATGAGGTCTCGCCCAGTTGCCCAGGCGGGTCTCGAACCCATAGGCTCAGGCAATCCACTCACCTCGGCCTCCCAAAGTGCTGGGATTACAGGCTGAGCCACCAATTTTTTAAAAATTATTTGAGTTGGAGTCTCACTCTGTTGCCCAGGCTGGAATGCCATGGCACGCTCATGGCCACTGCAGCCTTGACCTGCTGGGCTAGGTGATCCTTCCACCTCAGTCTTCCAAGTAGCTGGAACTACAGGCACGCACCACCATGTCCAGTTAAATTTTTGATTTATTGTAGAGATGAGGTCTTGCCAGGTTGCCCAGGCTGGTCTCCAACCCGTGGGCTCAGGCAATCTCTCACCTGGGTTTACAGGCTTGAGCCACTGCACCTGGCCAAATACATTTTTAAAGGAGTCTTTGTTTTACAATCACAAATGGAGAACCAGTGCCATTTCACAGAAATCACAAGTAACTGGAAAAATAAAAACAACCCCCTTCCAAGCAGTCATTAAATTCTAGCTAGATGCTGCTGCCTGCCAATCTCTCAGACTAAAACCTACTCTTTTTTTTAAGGAAGGTTGGAAAGTATTAGGAATTAGAGACATCCTAGCACAGAACTGAGATGCTCCTCTTTTGAAGCTCAGGAGCACTGAAGAAGAGTGGGAAACGGAATGCCCTTCTCACGTGTAACTCAGTGCTGTTAGATGTCTTGTCCCTGCAGGACCTCGGGTTTTCTCAGTTATCATCGGGGCGGGGGGAGGTGGTGGGATATGCCCCACCTTTGGGACTCACTAGCTTAGGGCACACTGAAGGTCATCTGTTGGCTGAGTGGCTGTTTCTCTGTAAAATCTCCTTTCTAGAGCTGGGAAGAAACCAGCTGTGGGTATGGGGCATGGTAGGAATGTGCTTAGTTTGCTGGGATGAAAGCAGTGCCTCTCTGTATTCGTTTGCTAGGACCGCCATAAAAAGTGCCACAGACTGGGTGTCTTAAGCAACAGCAATTTATTTTCTCACAGTTCTGAAGGCTAGAAGTCCAAAGTCAGGGTGTTGGTTTCCTCTGAGGTCCATAAGGAAAAGATCTGTCTCAGGCCTCTCCCCTTGGCTTATTGATGGTCATCTTCTGTCTGTATCTTCAACACGGTTTTCCCTTTTCGTGTGTGCCTGTGTCCTATACTGTTCTTTTAGGGATACTAGTCATATTGAATTGCGGCCCACCACAGTGATCTCATTTTCCCTTAATCACCTCTTAAAGGCCCTGTCTCCCAATACAGTTTCATTCTGAGATCCTGGGGGTTAGGACTTCAACATATGGATTTGGGGGAGACACAATCCAGACTACACACCCTTTCCTTTCCCTCCACACTTCTTATTCAGCCCCCACTCCTCATGTCTTCCCTGATCTGACACTCACCTTCTCTTCCTTGCAGGATTGGAATCTTCTTCTGCCCTCTGCTGCCCTTTATCCAAATGATTACTCTTTTCACCATGTTTTATGCCAAAAATGTAAGTCAGTCCTTCCTTGCAGTCAATCAGCTTTTCTCAGTCATGTGTGACCTGGTGGTTGTTGGAGCTGGGGGGCTCTGGGGAGGTCTAGGAAGGCCTAGGGAAGGCGGGGTCTAGTTGGGATTGCTTTGGCTTCTCCCCTGGCTGCAGATGGTAGGTGGCTGTTTCTCTTTCTTTAGATCAGCTTGATGAATTTCCAGCCTCCAAGCAAAGCCTGGCGGGCCTCGCAGATGATGACTTTCTTCATCTTCTTGCTCTTTTTCCCATCCTTCACGGGGGTCCTGTGCACCCTGGCCATCACCATCTGGAGGTAGGAAATAGTGGCCCTAGGTGACGTTTTAGACTTGGGTGGGTGAGTGTTTATTTTTACATATAGGTTTTGTTATGATTCAGGTTTGGTGATGTCAACAGATCAGCAGACAATTGCCATTGAAAAGATAGTTTAGTGCTCACAGTTCCCAAGAGGAGGAGGTACTTCGTGCCACACTGGGCCATGTGGGGAAGCATCAGGGTAGGCCAGCAGGCAGAGGAAGTGAGGGAAAGAGCCTTAATTGTGGCTTCTGAGGTATGGAACAGGAAAGGCAAGGTAAGTGGGCTTAAGACTGGTTTGTTTGAATAATTTCAGTAGGCTCTGTGGTCTAGGGGTTGTCCTGAGTTATCTAGTACCTGGCCTTGAGGTGATTAGAGCAGGGGAATATTGCCCAGAGTGTAAAAGCCTATGATAAAGGGGTGGTTGGAGGTATGGGCTCCTTTGGTTGGTTTGCACATGAAAGGCGTGCTTTGCAGGCTAGCCTGAGAAGGGCAGACTCTCCAAGGCAGTAAGATCCCAGGCATAAACACAGAAGAATAAAATGACATGCTTAATACAATGCTTAACCCAAGTTCCCTTGATAACCAATAGACATTAAAACCAACTCCCTTGGTCACCTGAAGCTTCCCATGATAAGGAGAAGCCAGCTACTTCACATCCTGAACAGAACCTCATCTAAGTTAAGGCCTTGACTGATCTGGCCCCTTCCACCTCTCCAATCCCACCTCCCTTTGGAGCCCCCATACTCCAGCCCCAGGGCTCTCACTTCATTCCTGGGACCAAGAAAGCCCCTTTCTACAAGAGCAGGGTCCTCTGTGAAGCATTATCCCCCTCCCCTTGTTTGGCTGCCTTCTCTCTACCCACTGATTCTTACCTCCAAGGACATCACCAAGAACCTCCAAAGTCATCTCCAAGATCTGGCCTTCATAGCCCTCCTCGTCTTCTATCAGTTCCCATTGCTTCTCTCTCTCAGGCCTGAGTTTCTTTCCTTTAATCCGTCATTCACTGTTAAAACACCTTTGTTTGAGTCTTTGCTTGATTGTTTACTTATTTATTATCCATCTTTCCCACTGGAACATAAACCCAAGAAGGCAGGGACTATGTGTGTCTTGTTTAATATGGAATCCCTAGAGTCTATCTAGAATAGTCCTTGGTAGAATAAACCATGGTTGAATGAATGAAGGGATTAATGAATGAATAAACGAATGAACAAGCAAATAAATGAACAAGTTTTTTTAGGACACATGTGAAACTGGAGCTATGAGGAACTCAAGCAGCTTCAGGGAAGGCTATATTTCAGTGTCCTTATTCCTCTCAATGTATCCACTCTCTTCTTGACTAGTTCCTTGTTTCCCTCTAGTTTCTGCTCATTTATAACTGACTGCACATGGTCATCATTGCCACAACTTCGGCTTCCATAGCTCGCAGGCTTCCCTCTTAGTGCTTCTTAATGCAAGTTTCCACAAAAGATAATCTGATTACCACTATTCATTTCTTTGAGCCAAGATAATGCAATAGTTACTGCCTGGTCTTTGGATCAACCAACTGTTGATTGAATCTGGTAATACTTCTGGTCCAAGAGCTGGTGCTCAGAGCGCAGGTCATCCCAGCAAGGCTATGAGTGAGAAGAAGGCTTCTTTTGGAAGGGGACTATGTGAAGAGCAGGCAAGATTTGCTGTTTCTAGATCCAGAGCCCAGAGAGGACACCCTGATTTTAGAGTAACTATACCCATTTCATTCTAGAGATGTTTTTCCACCCCTTGTTTTACCAGGTTGAAGCCTTCAGATGACTGTGGTCCCTTTAGAGGTCTGCCTTTCTTCATTCACTCCATCTACAGCTGGATCGATACCCTACGTACAAGGCCCAGCTACCTGTGGGTTGTTTGGATCTACCAGAACCTCATTGGAAGCGTGCACTTCTTTTTCATCCTCACCCTAATTGTGTTGTAAGTGGGCACCTTGGGAAACTAGTGGGGGAAAGCCAGGAACTCTTGTGGGAAAACTTCATGAATATGAGATGAGGGCAGTCCTACGATTCTTGGTTAGAAAACAAAAAGCCTACAGTATAGCTCAGAGTTATGGATGACTCTACCCTTGAATAGGTATCTTTTTCCAAGTTATTTAATATCTTCTTGCCCTGGTGGGTTTTTGCATGTTCTATGAAGAAAGAAATACCAGCTTTGCCCCTTTTAAGAGGTGACATGAGAATAAAAATTTTTTTTTTAATGGATGTAAAAATGCTTAGGACAAGTGTATGTGTGATTCTTCCTGAGATGGTGGTATGTTAAAATGGTTTGGGCATTACTGATATGTAGGATATTGTACTTTAATATTAAAATGTTAAAAGATCTATTTCTGACTTCCTGTGAAAAGGTAAATTTGCTAACACTAGGCCCATTTTCCTGCATAAAATAATTGTTTGGCTAATGTATGGCTGATGCCCTTAAGAAGCTTATTCTGATGGCATTTGAGATTGTAGTCCCTCACATAGAGAGACACAACTCAAAAGCACAAGCTATTGGAACCACTTGATGTAGCTTGTAGGGCAACTCCTCAGTTTTGCAGATGGAAGAGGTAAAGCTTATAGAGATAGGATGTCCTACAGACAGGTTCCCAGATTTCAGGACCTAGGAACCAAGTCTTCTGGCTCTCAGCCATGCCCTTCTTCCCAGACACCAAGCTGCCACTGACCTGCTTAGAAAGGTGAATTCTTCTGGTGCCTTGCTCCTTCAGACTTCTAATTCACTGGGTCTGTGCTGGTTTAACTCACACTTCTGACACCAAACATGTGGGGTTTTTTTTTCCCTCACACCAACCAATTATCCAACTCTCCAGATGCTGACTGGATGTCCTGCAACTTAATTTAATTATGACACTATCTATCTGACTTAGCATTAGATTCCACGAGTTAAGGGCTCAGTTCCACAAGACTGCCCTCCAATCACAAGTTCCCAAGTTGTCACTTGTACTTCTTACCAACTAGCTGTAAATTTGAGGGTCCCAACAAACCCCTCTTCAGGTTTGATAATTTACTAAAATGACTCACAGAACTGAAGAAGACTATCTAACTATTATTGACTTAATAAAAAGGATACAGCTTAAGAAGAATCAAATGGAAAAGATGCCCAGGGCAAGGTGTGGGGGAGGGGAAGGTGTGGGGCTCCCACGCCCTCTCCAAGAAGTCTTGATTTATTAAATCATTGGCCACTGGTGATTAATTCCATTTCCAACCCCTCCCTTCTCCAGAAGTCCTGAGGGGGCAGGAGCTGAAAGTTCCAATTATGCCTTGGTCTCTCTGGTGACTAGCCCCCATCCTGAAGCTATCTAGGGGCTACCAGGATTTTTTTTGAGTTGAAGTCTCACTCCATTGCCTAGGCTGGAGTGCAGTGGCATGCTTATGACCACCCCAGCATCAACCTGCTGGGCTCCAGCAATCCTTCCGCCTCAGCCTTCCAAGTAGCCAAAACTACAGGTGCACGCTACCACACATGGCTAATTTTTTTATTTATTATAGAGACGAGGTCTCACCAAGTTGCCCGGGCTGGTCTTGAGCCCATGGACTCAGGCAATCCACTCGCCTCGGCCTCTCAAAGTGCTGGGATTACAGGCTGAGCCACCGAGCCTGGCCCACCAGGATCCTTATTAGAATCCAGAAGACACTTTCTTTTAGTTAGAGATGGATTCTTGCCCAGGTTGGAGTTGAACTCCTGGGCTCAAGCCATCCTCCCACTTCAGTCTCCTGAGTAGTGGGACTACAGGCACATGCTAACACACTCAGCTAAAAGATACTCTTATCACTCTGGAGAGTCTAAGTGCTGTGTGCCAGGATCTATCTATCTATCTATCTATCTATCCACCCACCCATCTATCTATCTATCTCTTCAGGAGCTTGTAAGAAATGCAGAATCTCTAGGCTGGGCTCAGTGGCTCAGCCTGTAATCCCAGCACTTTGGGAGGCCAAGACAAATGGATTGTCTGAGCCCACAGGTTCGAGACCAGCCTGGGCAGCTTGGTGAGACCTTGTCTCTACAATAAATCAAAAATTAGCCAGGCATGTGGAGTGTGCCTGTAGTTCTGGCTACATGGAAGGTTGAGGCAGAAGGATCACTGGAGGCCAGCAGGTCAACACTGGGGTGGCCATGAGCATGCACTCTAGCCTGGGGTGATGGAGTGAGACTCCAATTCCAAAGAAAAAAATAAATGCAGAACTCAGGCCCTACCCCAGATCTACTAAATCAGAATCTGCATTTGAACAAAATCCCAAGAATGTGTATCATACTCTCATGCACATTAGAATTGTGTACATTTTTAAAAATACTGATTTGGCTGGGGCCAGTGGCTCGTGCCTATAATCCCAGAACTTTGAGAGGCCAAGTTGGGAGGATTGTTTGTGGTCAGGAGTTTGAGATCAGCCTGGGTAATATAGCAAGACTCCATTTCTTTTGTTGTTGTTGTTGTTGATTGTTCTGTTCTTTTTTTTTTATCAGTATTTTTTATTATGGTTTTGTGGGGAACAGCTAAGGGTTAGGTGTACAATTACGTTTCATTCAGGCACCCTGTTGATAAGAGGTGTTTTCTCATCCCCCGACAGATATTTGCTACTGATAATCCCATCCCCCTCCCCCCCGAAGTTTC